GTTGAAGATGTCCCTGCCCACAGCAGGGGGGTTGGACTAGATGACCTTTAGAGGTCCCTTCCAACCCAAACTATTCTATGATTCTATGTGACATTCCTGTTCTATGGTGAGCATCATGTTGTTTTTCATTAGAAAGGTTTAGATTTGCATCTCTTCAGAATAACAATTTCTTTGAGATGATGACATTTTAATAAGTTTTTGGGTAGAATGCTCCATCTCTGCCTTCTAACCGATATCAGTGTTGCAACAAAAGCATGCCGTGTCACGTCTTTGGGAGTAACAACTTCTGCTGCTGGAAATAACCACTTGGGGAATTTTCCCTTGGTGTTAACAAATTTCTCTAAACAGCAAAGAGAGGTGAGAACTGAGCACAAGGGTATGCTAGGGCCATAGATGAAGGAGATAGGATGAATCTGGGCTACCACAGTGACTCCTTGAAGACCACAGTAGCTGCTTACCTGGGACTACCTTATTGCAGGAACTCCTATGGTCCCCACTAGTTAACAGAACACGTGGTACTCACAAAGGTGGCAGGAAGTCATTTAACTCCACTTTATAAACTGCATCCAGTAGAGTTCAGCTGGAGCTCGGAACTACAGACAAAATCTTTCTAGTGATGTTTTCAATGACATGTTATTACTCATGAAAATGCATTAGTGTGGAACACTAGTTGGAAGTATATTGGAGACAGAGACATTAATACTCATTGATACTCATAAAAATGCAAACACCTGTAAGCAATGAAAAGGCTTACCTCTCCATTGAAAATCTCTTTATCATTAAATACAAAGTTGGCCTTTGCATTGCCAGACAGTTTTTCAGCTTGCAACCAGAATCTTACTTGTCCTTTTTCCAAAATTTCCACTGCCAACTCAGAGGCAAGTGGGACAGCTACAAAGAAGAAAGAAAAGAATGAAGCATATACTTTGCCTGTGCCCCAACAACTATTTTCTTCTGTAACCAGAAAGCCACTTCTTCCTTTCATACTCGGATACTGTATGCAAGGTAACTAGCTTATGATTGCTCTTCATATAGACAGAATGCCTCTCCACCCACATATACGTAGGATGACAGAGAAGATTTAATCTTTTGCTCCTTCAATCACTAGGTGTGTACAGACTGGAAGCATTCAGGATTTGAGTTATGCCGGTGCCCCTCCATTCTAATACAAGGCTAAATCTATTTCAAAGGTAAACTGCAAGTATCTCTGCAGCATGATGTGAGTCTGTAAGGCGCAGACCCATGTTTAATGAGTCGCTTAACCATGTTACTGTAAGACAGTGAACTGACTCAGCGGAAAAAAACACCAAAAAGCCCCAAGCACGAAGCCAGATCAGAAAGTCAGCTGCTGAGCTGCAGGTTGGGAGATTTTTGTAAGCACTCTGATCCTTCGCTGGGTGGAACTTCCATCTCCTAGAATTCATTAAGTATCACAACACACCCTCAATCTCTCCAGTACATTTTGTTTACCTATGAATAATGGAAATCCCTCGCATATAGACCAATTCCTTGTGTTAGCAGGAAAAAAAATAATGTAAAGAGTACTGCAAGTCATTTTAGTCTTTTTTTTTTCATTTTTCCTTGTTCTTTTTAGTAAAAGTCCTCAGCTTGCTTTCACTTTAACTTTTTATTAAGATATCTTAATCAGCAACATTAAACATGAGCATTTAGACTCTGATATTGGGGCATATTGCTCATTCTGTTGGCTTCCATCATTTTTAGCTGTGTTAGTGTCAAATTTTCAACAAAATCATACTCTAGGGAGTACGTATGCTGTATGTGAACTCTGCCCTAATCTCCACTTTCACAGCAGTGTAAAGTCTGCATTGCAGGGGTGTAACATGGAACAGCTGAGGACAGCATACAAACATTGCAAAATGCTTGATGATGCAGTTTGGTGATAGTGTAAAGATACACCTCCTCCCAGACAAATCCCACGACAGGGTTGTTTTTCCCTTCCAACTAAAAATATTCATTCTATTCTATTCTATTCTATTCTATTCTATTCTATTCTATTCTATTCTATTCTATTCTATTCTATTCTATTCTATTCTATTCTATTCTATTCTATTCTATTCTATTCTATTCTATTCTATTCTATTCTATTCTATTCAACTTTGTGTATGCAAAGGCCCAGCTACAGCAGGAGTGGACTGGGATTGAGGTACTGTCTAATGTGTCTCATCTTTCTATTTGCACCGTCCTAAATGACTGGGGTGCCTTCTGGAGCAGAGCAGCCATCCCACCCCACTGCCAAACAAAGTTAGGGGGGTGAGGACCCCCCTTGCCTTCCTTTCCTTTCCTTTCCCACGCTTACCCCTTCCCTGCACCTACACCCTCCCACACCCGCATGTATGCTTTTGGTGCCTGAGTGGCACAGGATCACTGTCTCTGGTGAAAATAAGGCTTCTGGGAGGTGAGGCAATATTCACAGGAAAAAAAGAGAATTATGAAAAAAGCACAGGCTTAACAAGAGAGAGGAAAATAGTTAAAAAGGAGTGTGGAGGGACAGCATTACCACGAGGGAGCAGGGCAAAGAACAACCCCATAGGAGTGTGCCCCAGCAGTGCAAATGGTCCACGTGAAGCTTCCTCACCCAGTGCATCACTTTGCTCATAAGAAACAAAAGGAATCTCATGTCTTGCATAATTTCTCAAAACAAAGCAACTGAAGTGCTACAGGAGCCAGCAGAAGCGAGAGGGAGAGGGCGTGAATAGACATCAGGCTGCACTGCTTTTGTCTCACTGTCAGCTCTATGGCAATTTTAAACCCCCACTTGATTTGCATGCAATTAACTATGAATATCTTAGTCTAACATGGAAGAGAGGAAAGTATCTCAGAAGCTGTTAAATAAAGGGCTGAAAGGATGCAAAAGGATTCTTTTTTGGGAAAAGGCCATTCACTCCCCAGCCCAAAGGAACTGGACAAATCTGCATTACAGTCCTCCACGAGGAAAAGTCTTATTTTAAAATATTTCCATAAGCACCAAGTGACAGCTACTTTAGGCATTTTTCAGCCATCGTGCTTACAAGGTTTTACATCCTATTTGTATAGCATCACAAATTACCACAAGCACTTGACAGGGAGTCCTCGGGCAGTTGCTAAATTGAAGAGTTGGAACAATTTATTTTTACCTAGCACCAATACATTATCATGCCCAAACGAAGTTGCTTTCTGCAAGGCTGCATTATTCAAGCAACCCGTTTTCCCATGGAGTTACTGGCTGCAGATGTTTCTAAGCAGAAGTTACAATTAAATGCAGTTCAGAAGTACAAACAAAGCACAATGCAAGAGCTCATGTTGAATCAGAAATGCCTAGCAACTAATTTTTTTTTAGAGAAATTGGGTAATCCTCAAACAGATTATCCAGAGATATGACTAAAGTTTCATGTTGATCCGTAGGAGCTCATTATTATTTTTCTAGCCTCATAGCCATAGCCAGATGTATCTCAATCCCTGTTTGTAATTTTTTTTTTTAGTGCCCACGGGGCCCAGAGTAGCCAAAGCAAATAAGACAGTTTCCTCCTTGAAACATTAGGATATGTTCTGCAGTGATCTCCCTTTTTCCCTGTGCCTCCTGGAACCTCACACACAGCCAGAAGTGTACTGTTACCTAAGACGATGCAAAAAAGAAGACACTGTCTGTGTCCTGAGGAGCTTATTTTGTGACATTAGTTATGAACACAGAGCGTGGAAGAGCACCCGGAAGAGAAGAGTCAGGGCAAGTAAGGACGTGTGACATCACTAAGGTTTTGTGATGACTAACTTTCAGCAAGAAGATGTAATTAGGAGGAAACAACTGGGAGGAGCGGGAGTAAACAAGGGGATGCTTGGGCTGCCATTAAGCTGTCAAAAGGTGATACAATATGTTGAGAAGGGTAGAGCTGATATGGAAAAGACACAGAAAGAAATGAGAAAGAGAGATGATGTGGGCAAAAAGACAGGCCATTTCTGCAGCCAAACTTTGACTGGGCTGAGAGGCACGATGTGGGCTGAGTTGGCAGAGGTGCCAGCAGTGCATGCTGGAGATGCTGGAGATGTTAAAACAGGCAAGAGTTTTAGTGCCTGGAACGAAGAAGAAGAGAATGTAGTGGGAGAAGATGAGACAAGGTTTAGGTCTCATCTTGTTGTGTGTAATAGGATTCATTATAACATCCAATTTATTATTGTTTTCAATTACTGAAGTTACATTCCAATGAAAATAACCAAGTTGTGCTACTACCAGAATATCATAAAGGTATGGGAGGTCTGTGGAGTTGACAAAAATATCATCCCAAGCAGAAGGAAGGACGTTCATACTGTCAAGTGTTACAGGAAAGAGGGAGGGAATTAATTTCAGCAGGAAAATTCTGTATATATAGATCATTACAGCTGAATTTACTACAGTTGCCTGTAGTTAACCTTAAATTTAACTTATGCTAACTTCAGTTGGAGTAAAGTTAGAAAATTTTTAAAATTGAGGTTTTCCAATCAGGTTAGGTATGCTGAGTAAGTATAAAAGGCTGTTCTGCAGAAGAAACAAAGCCAATGGGATACGTATTTTCCAACTGTTAAATAGACTTATTATATGCCTAGACCAGTACCCTGCAACAGAGCAGGAAGAACATCAGTAATAAACAAATGTACTGAAAGAAAGAGGAAGAAAAAGGAATCTTAGATTTTCAATTCAAAACCACTTTCACTTGAAATTACTGTAGCGACTTCCCTACCTGATGGTGGCAGGAGCTTTGTGATACCCCACTGCATGCAAAACTCTCCCCTAGAGACATGTTTGATTCACTTACTTGGGAATTTGCGTTCGTGGCTCAAGGCAAGTAGGCGTTTCATTTCTGCAAAAGACGTAAAAGAAATAATATAAGGTGTGCATGCCTTATGGATCTGAGAGACACAGCAGCAGGGAAAAACAGATGTGAAAGCTAAACAGGCATGTTTAATAGACATTGTGTCTACCTTCCTCATCAATTGTGTGGCTTGCTGAAACTCCATCAGTGTCTGTAACAACACAAGAGTAAATTCCCAAATCATCTTCTCCAAGATCCTTAAAGGTAGCTTTTGACCTTTAGGAGAAAAGAAAAACATTTTAAGAAAAAGATGAGATCAGTCTGAACCAAACCCCTCCTTTATATTTATAACACCAGATAAAAATAGTCTTGTATTAGCTTTTGCTCTGACTGAACAGGCAAAGGCGGGGCTCTGGCCAGTACAAACCAGGTTAGGTCCTACCATCTGTGGTACAAACGGAGATGGCACAACTCTCAGATAGTGCCAAAATCACTGGATATAGCTAGTTTAACCTAGCTCACGCATGCTTAAAAACATGCTGTCAAGTCTTTGATGAGCATGAAAGGGTACTGTAAGTACAGGGTGAGTCAATTTTCACATGCAATACCAAGAGTGTGGTGAGCCACCGTTTCTTTCTGCATGGTTTCTATAACTAGAAGAGCACATAGGTACTTCATAGGCTGAACCTGTGCATTTGCCATTTCTTCCTCTCTGTTAAAAGCCTGAAGAAACAGAGCAGGCTTGTAGAGCATTATAGAAGTTACCAAATCAGGCCGTGGTGACGCTATCAAAAGAGAGTCCTGCTTACTCCAGCATCTCCGAAGATTGCAACAGTGTTACATGGTAAAAGCATTTTGCAAGCAGCCAGATAATTTTATCCTTTGGAGATTTAAAATAATAACAATAGGAATAATAATAATTTGCCTTGATTGACAGGCTACAAGATGACAGAGCACAGATTTTCTCTCTCTATGCCCAAACATAACTCAATTGCCTAAACAGGAGGCCTGACTCATTCTGTGCAAGCTACAATTTCCAAATGGTCTGCATATGGACTTGCTGGAGAACAGCATACTCATAAAGTAGCCTTCCAGTAACAGAGGCAGATATAACTCTTACAATGAGGTCATACATTGAAGAGGATGGATTTCTGTGACCTGCCTAGATCTCTAAAACACGAGAGTATTGCTACCCCCAAGGGTTCTTACTTTCCGCCTTTGGTATCGATGTTCAGTCGAGAGTCATCCTCAATTGGTTCATAATTCTTAGACCAAACAAACTTAGAGTTTGGAGACATCTGATCACATTCAAAGTTCAAGGAAATTACTCCATTGTCATCTACATCAACCACCACTTCCTTGGTTCCTGAAAGACCAGAACAAGGCAATTCCACTTTCTCAGAAAAGCCAGCAAACAAATTTATATAGATACCATTCATAGGGTAGATTAAGCAGATCCTTGCCATTTTCTCAGTCGGCACATAAATTGCTGCAAACATTGGCATCCTCAGGCTTTAATTCACAAGAACAGTTCTTATTCTAATCCATAAAAAAAGGAACAGATTAAAGAGCATCACAAATCAACTGATTTATTTGAGCAAGTCTAAGCACACACGAGAGTTATGATATTTGCTCTGGAAAAACCTGGAGGGGGAAAAAAAAAGCAAGCCTCTACATCCACTAAATGTTTGAAATACTAAATAGCAATATTTTCCATGGCAAGGGGTAGTCAGAGCTTTCATTATGCAGCATGAATTTCTTATTGCCTATAAGAGCTCTAAAGGGAATACCGTGTGCAAATGCGGGTGTTTGAAGAGGTGCAGGAGGCAGAAGAGGAAACAATCGAGTTGCCCCATCAGGACTCACTTGTGCAACTGAGGCACATTTTCAGTGACTCTGGCTTCACTCGGGGAGGTTGGTTTAATTGCTGTGCCTGGCATCCGGCCCTGCCGCCATATGCAGCATTAATCCCGGGCCCACAAAGGGAGTGAATATTTGCAATTAGCTGCTTAAGTCGCCCACCCTGTTTTGCCGGTACCTACAGTCCTTGAGCTGGATAAGGTGACCCAGTTTGTCCTTTAAAAGGCCCTGGGGGTGAATCCCAGATCAGAAACCTGAAGGCACCTCCATCCTGCCCCCTCGCACCCCAGTGAAGCTGAGGGAATTTCGTCTGGGATTCGGGCGGCTTGGCGAGCTTGTCATCTGTGGCGTTAACTTTCATTTCAACAACTTGTCTGAGAATGTCAGGGAGAGCGTATGCACTGAGAGGTGCTGGAGAACATCCAGCCTCCTTTTCCAAACAGCTCTGAGCTGGATCTCGCATCTGAATAGGGCACTTGTGTTATATTACTTAGCTTAAGACAATTCTGGGCTGCCCAGAATGCTGATGACATGCTTTCTCCACAAAGTATTGTACCTTAAAGACAAAAGCCTTATTCCTGACATTGAGATTGAATGCTTTCTTTTCAGCATAATTCTTAATGAGCATCAAGCATACAAGGAGGTTTCTGTGTTTCATCATCCTAATACTATACATGTCCTCTCCAACACTGTGAGTAGCTCCTGTAATGACAATTTGTGTACACGCAGCTTGCTTAGTCTTTATAATTTGCCATAGCCATTTAATGAAAGAGGAGATTAATATTCCCATTTTGGTGCTGTTATTTACCAGCCCTTGCAGTAATGAAGCATGGTAAGTACCAATATATGATAAATGAAGTCTAAGGTCTACAAATATTTTATTAGGCAGCAGCACATTTGCAAATTTTTTATAATTTAATTTATTACATGCAAATACATCACTTAACATTTCATTAATGTTTAGTTTCCTGTGGACATTAGCACATGAATCTTTTGGTGGCGGCTTATGTGCAAAGAATTACAGCCGGAAGGTCCATCTGAAGGACAGAATCTTTTATATTTGTTTTAAAGTATTCTCATTATGATAACAATGCATAGCATTTATTTCCAGAAGTGATGATGGCGTTTACCTCTAATATTTATATGAGTAAAAAAAACGAAAAAGAAATCTTTTTAAACTACTGACCAGAGGTCTCCCCTTGTCCTACAAAGTGGAACCAAAGGTGCTGCCATAGTAGTAGCAGTCTTAATTTCCCTCCTCTAGATAGCTTGGTGGTTTCAACATATCATCTGGAGCTTCTCTTAAAATGATCATAAGAAATAAAATACTTAGATGTCATATCAAATCTCCATTTATCTGAGCATTTTATTGCATTGAAAGGAAAGCAGTAACATGAAGATAAAGCAGACAGCTTCAAAACACTAGAGTTAATGGCAACATCTTGAATACAGCTAGTCAGAAAAGTTGAATGGGATAGGGTTTCATTCATTTCTGAGGTTCAAGCCCTTCTCAAGTGACTGATGCAGGATCAGAATCTAATTTTGCTTTGCACCAAGATGTACAAGGACTAAGGGGAGCAATGGGGAAGAGTTGCTGTCTGCTCTTGGATTTCCCCTGCTTCCTGTGAGATCCCCACGCACCGAAGTGCTTTTGCCTAAAGACAAAGTTACAGCTCAAAAGTAGCCTGGTTTGGTATTTGTTTATGTGGGTGGGTTTTTCATTTAATTTTAAAAGATAACTGTAAAAATTAAATATGGTTTTCAAATAAGAGAAGGTGGATGGAAAGTATCGCATCATTATATTTACACGTCACCCGATAAAGAAAATTGGTGCCTCTCATATTAAAGCAAATATTTTCATTCAGGATATTATTTACAGAAAGCTCAGTCATCTGGCAATTTTACACATTTGCCAGAAGCAACATTCCAGCAGAAATTGTTTAGAGAGACTTGACAATATTTTGTCTCCATCCAAGATGTTAATAAAGGCAGCATTCATTGTTCAAGACCAAAAGATTTGTGGCAATCTTAAAAAATGGTATGATTGTTCTTGAGATTTGTGTGGTTTCAGTGAGAAAGGTGGAAGCCTGCCCAAGAGACTGCTTTCTGAAATAATTTTTTTAATAAGCCTTTTGTCCTTGATACTTTTAAGAACCTTAGTTTGGTGGATGCCATATCTGCAGATCTCGGCTCAAAATATGGGTCAACCGGATTTGTACAAGTAAATAACTTTCAGCTTCCCTGAGATTTCACTGGGCCAAACCCTGACTTTCCTGTGATGCCTCAGACATTACACCTCTGAACCTGAGCATTGCTTGCAAAAGGGCCATGATCCTGAGATGTACCTCCTTCTCTAACGGTGAGGTCTGTAAATCAAATGTTCTGCTCAAGTTCATATTGCCAGGTAGGGCATGCACCTCATTTGAGTGAACATTGAAAACGCTGTATGAATTTTTTTTGTCATGATGATCATCTTCACAAGAGTTTACATTCGTATTTTTTTGGAATTGTAATGGCATGACCAATCCTTTGTTTAGTACACTTGAAGATTGTTATAATAAAAAGTTTTTGTCAAAAGTCTGACAGATAGATATTGACCCTCAAAGAAAATGGATTAGTAAAGCCAAAAGTTTAGTACTAATACTGGTTTGATTCTCCTTTTAGAAGTGATTGCTCTATATAAGCTGTTTTCAAGAATAAGTTTCTAAGTTTTGCCTTGCTGCACTTGCAGGTGATGGAAATAGCCCCAGTTCTTCAGCGGCTTGTAGATCTGAAATTATGGCTACTGTATTTTTGAAAGATCCTGTCCCAAGCCCTTCTTACTCACACACTTATCCTTTTTTTGTCCTTGTATCCCAATCTTACACCTTCCAACTAACCATCTACTCCTTCCAGGCCCTTCTTCCCATCCCAGCCTCACTAGCAGTCGCCCCAGTCTCCCCACTCCGAGTTTTCCAGTTCTTTTACACCCCCAGCTTCAGACCTCCTTTTTCAGAGTTTCTTGACTTACAGCCTCACTAAGAGCTAACTCAAGGCTTCTTAGGATTCTTACTGTCCTGGGCATAAGGACCAGGCATTTATGGGAGCTGGGCCAGTGCTGCCACAGGAATGGGAGAAGTAAAAATGGACCTGGGAGTCAGAAACAGGGAAAGGATCCTGGGGTAATGCTCCTGAGGCAGATGGGGTGGGAATGGGAACTGATTCTCACCGGTGGCATCTGCTCAACACCTCACAGTCGATACCATCCCAAATAAACCCTGACTATCTCTCCAGGCAGGAGCAGATATCAACCTGACTGCCTGGGCTCAGGCAGGGTAGGCAGCTGCCTGCCCAGGTAATCGCTGCCTTTGCCTGTGCCCCTGCACTCCTACTTGTGCTCCCTGTGCCCAGCTGCCCCAGGGCCCCACGTTGCCCTGCCTGCCCGCCGCCTGCCTTCGTTCCTGCTCTTTTAGGGCTCTTAGAAACCTCCCCCCGTGGGATCAGATATGAGAGTCTGCAGGCAGAGGAAGGGACCTCGTCAGAGGAAAAGAGGGTGTATGGTTGATCCAGGCTGGGTTGTACCCCTGTACCTTGTTACATCATACTAACTTTATATTAGATTTGGTCAAAATATCTGGGAGTTTGTTTTTCCACTTTGTAGGACCCTCTGCTTCTAAAACAGTCTGTAGATGAGTAAGCCACAAGCCCATGCTTGTGTTTTCTGTTAGGGACTTAGTGACAAAAAGGTGTTGACTCCGATCAAAGTTGCCTGTGTTACCTGTATAACTAAATAAAACTCAGGGGTTTTCTGAAGTTCCAGGTATGGAGATTCTGCCTCCGCACTGGTTCCCGTGTTTCTTGCTGGCATTATAGACACGCTGGAGCCAGCCTTCAAGGATGACCCCAGCAAACAGTTGCACTTGAATTCCTACTGAAGGTGGTCTCCAAAATGACTTCATTACGTTTTTAAAGCCAAGAGAAAAGAGTAATTTCTTTTACGGTTTCCTCAGGCACATTACATAAGTTAAAGAAAGAAGAGAGATAAAACATAAACAACTGGTTTACTATAAGAAGGGCAAAATCTACATCTGTAGAATGTTTTGGTTGAGCTGATCTTAGTGGGTCCTCTGCTTATGCATTTATCTATAGATATATGCAATTCTTACAACTTTCTTGTATTTTTATATTCCTGAACCCATAGTTATAGTAAGAAAATCTGTTCTGACCTTAAAATATACCAGACAAGAAAGTAAGATATGACCCTCAACTCATTTCCTGCTTAGTAAAAAGTTTGACTTGAGAGGGGTCAGACTGTTCACATGCAGCCTGTATGTAAACACATTGCACGAACAGGAACCTGTTTAAATATGACAAAAAAGAGGAAGTATTTCTAACAAACCTGGTCGTGTTTCAGCTATGACAGGATCTGTGACATCTGATGGTTTCCCAACACCAGCCTGGTTTGTCGCCCGCACACGAAACACATAGCTCACACCTTCTTTTAGGCCACCTATCTGGAGGAAGCAAATATACATACATGCATGATGTGTTACAGAACACTGATTTTAATTTCACACTTCTTACAATTCCAGTCTGGAATGCTTGACAACTATATTTCCTTTCTTTTTGTTTTGCTCCTTTTCCAGTTGACAAATATATCTTCCTCGTGTTTGTTTTTTTTTTTCAATTCCAGAGTGACATGACTGATCTGTTTGGCTTGCTCCTTCCTTGTATGCATAGCTAACATTTAGGCAACGTCATTACTGTCATTGGTTTCTTTGCAAAAGCAGCATTGTTATTGGAACAGCATGTTTTTAACTCATGTACATTGACCTCTGAAACAGCATAGTCTTTTACTGCACTAAAGTCTTTCTGGCTTTTAAAAATGAAATTATCAGGGTAATAAGTGCCAGCCACACCTATTTAGAAACAGGAGGGCATTTAATTGTACAGATTTAATTGTAGGGACTTGAGGAATCATAGTGACATTATAACACCTGCAAATACTCCTTTAAAACATGTATGAAAGGATCACACTTAAAAGTGAGTTGTCTTTCAAATATTCTGAAAAGCATACAAATAGCAACCCTACTTAAGACGTATCTCTAGAACAGAGACACAGCTGATCCCTTATTTAGAAGTCATTCCACAAAATGATGTAGCACAATAGTGCAAAAAGCTTGGGTTTAACTTGCTGTGAAATGTGAGGAGAGGGTACTTTTTATTAGAAAGAATCACCTGCCACATTATCACAACACCTATTTTTGTGCCATCTGTTTTTGTGTAGTGATACCTATCTTGCCCTTTGAGCTAGAAAATGCTAGGGTTGCCTCCTGCGTTATAAGAATGGTATTTGGTTCTAGCAGTGCTTTCTTTTATTTTTAGGCTTGTCATACCGGATTGTCTTCTGAGTTACTATCTTGTCTGACTACACAGGCATTACACGCCTGTATCCTCAGCACAACATAAACTACTATGTATTTCATTAAATGGAACCATGATCAGCACAGAATGATGCTATTGAAGGCTAACTTCCTCAAGATTATACTGTTATACCAGTATTTGAATCTTAAGCTATTTACCTTCAAGAATTTCTTTTGAAGTGGCTTCTCATTGACACTTCTCCAATGTTCCTCCTTTGCTTTGGTTTCCTTCATATCAACATAATAACCAGCTATGGGACTACGACCAGTATAAACTGGTTCCTTCCACAGTAAAACCAAAGAGTCCTTCCTAACTTCTGTGCATGCGACATCATGGGGTGGCCCTGAAAGGTAAGAGTAAAAGTTGGAGTTGTGGTATCAAAATAAATCCCCAAAGGGCTAATGCATAAGAGATTTCAAAAAACAAAACCAGACACCATGTTGTACACCCACACCTGACATAACACGTGCAGCTCTTCTGTATCATATCTAGACCAGACATAAATACAACCCATGCCTATTAAAAAGACTAGCCCAAAAAACAATCCAATTTGTTGAGATTTGGTATCTTGATCAAATATTCATGAACAAACAAAAACGACAAGTAATCTCCAAACTCAGGGAAATAAGTTAATTATTAAGCTAATGTGCTGCTTCAAGGACTGCTCTAAAGTCCACTGAAGTCAATGGAGGTTGTTTTCATTCATTTCAACAAGTGTTAAAAGGCCAGCGATCTGGCCTTGAAGTGATACATTTAGACAAGGGTTACAGGACCTCATTCTTCTTTGCCTTGTACCTTAGGCAGGTATTTATGTCTACCATTTAAACTAGGAAGCAAAGTGGCAGACAAAGTACAGAAACCAAGCAGGAAAGATAAAGAAAATACAAGCTGCTTGTAAAATGCTACTGATTAAATGGGGGTCGTTTAATGCATCAGTGTAAATGTACTAAATCAAAGTGATGGAGATTCAAGCCTGGGGATGAACTTCAGTGCCCGTTGACTCCCCTGGAAACTGAAGTCACTGAGAACTTAGATAATCAGTCACAGAGCACCCTTGGGCTGTGAGTAACCTCCACCTCCCACTCAGGATCCTACCAGGTACAGCAATGGTCCATTCTTCACATTTGAAGGGCTGGCTGGGTAGGGAGGGTGTCCCAACCCCAGCCAGGTTAGCAGCAGCCACCTGGAACTGGTACACCATGTTTTCCTTCAGGTTTTGAATCTGCAGAATCAATAAGATGGTGCTTATTAACTTTGGATTAAAGCTTTAGGAGAAAGTCACAATGGCAATTATTTGACACATGAGCATGCTTTTAAGTGCCTGAAGAGATGAAAGCATTATTGACATCATACATAAGGCAATAACTATCTTGGCTTTTCCTCTAATCAGTGGTAGAGCATACATGAACGGTCTTAACACGCTCAAATTGTAAACCCCTTTTCCTATTGATAGACACTTTGGTAGACAGGGAGAGAGCGAGGTATTGCTCAACAATTACATTAATCTGTCTCATGATACAGAGCAAGTTCACTTAAGGCAAGAGTTGTCCTCACAGTGGGGTGAAACTCAGTCCTGGCATTGCTTTTCATTTGTAAAGCAGCTCAACGAGGTTGTAGCTCGCACTATCTCTAAATTGGGTCAAGAACTGATCACAAAACACAGCTGGCACAGAGCTGGTTCCAGCACCAGCAAGCACTGGGGTAGGTCTGCCAAGTCCAGTAGGAATGCCATATGTTGTGAGGGCCTGACTTACAAAAACTCAGGCTATGTCTAAAATAGTGCATTCACAGATGACAGTTGGTGCCAGACTAACAGATAAGCATACAGATAATTTTGCAGAGAAGTTCAACAGAGCTAAATAAATTTATCATCATGGATATAAAACCATCTGAACAGCAACCTGTACACTGAATCATAATTCATTCCAATTTGTCTTTAGGTCTGTTTTGGAAATATTGTCTGCACTCACAGCAATAACAGAAGGTAACCTCTTACCCTGTATGCCCTCTCAGTAATGGCCTTAATGTTGGCCTCCATCCATTTCCCAGGAACTCCATTAACCACTTCACGATAGTTCACGTAGTAGCCAGTAATTTCAGTTCCACCAGTGACTTTAGGTTGTTTCCATCCTAATACCATCGAGTCACGAACACTCTCAAGTACCATGATGTCATAAGGTGGAGATGGAGCAGCTGTTTCAATGTGAATAATATATAAGTAAGGAGTAACATTTCAATAGTCAGACTGGCATTCAGTTACCGTATTCACGTGGCTCCCATCCTGCATTTCCTAATTAGGACGATATTTATGTCATCAAGAGAAGTTTCTGGAGTTGGAATAAGAAATGCAGGATAAAAGCTTCCGTAAACCAAATGAAAAAGTCCAAACTGCACAGGAATTAGTTTTCAGGATCATTTGTTTTTTGAGAAGCAAGCTGATACATAGTGAAAGAATGTGTTGCAATTGCAGCTCTGATGTAAGTGATCAGGACTCGCTTTAAAACGGTGAAAAATGAGGAACTAAAAATAACATTACAGGAAAAGTAAAAAAATTGGAGATGCAATGATTTGTTTTCTTTTGCTGAAAGCTTACCCTTTTTCACACATGCAATATTTTTAAATAGGCCCACATTCTTCCCTTCCGAGAATGGAGTTTATCTGTTCATTCTTTTTTTTTTCCTTTTAAATTTATCACTGTGCAAATTTTATCATTGCACCCATCACATGATCTTACCTTAGTGGAAGGAAGCATGATCATAGGCACTGTAGACTGACCAGAAATGGAACATGTCTGTTACTGGAACTTACATTAAAAAATTTGCTGCATAATCCTCTTTTTAATTTTTTTTTTTAACAATACAGAAATCATTAACTTCATCCCAACCCATTTTCTTATAAAGCCTTTTCTGTATCTAGTGGGGAAATGCTTGCCCACACCCAATATGTCATGCACCGGTGAAGAGCTCTACTTGTTACCCTGAAGACCTACTTTTGATGGAAATCGTACATCATATATGTTTCCTTATATCTTTAATGTTTTATATCAGTGTCGGAACTTACATTAAAAAATTTGCTCCATAATCCTCTTTTTAATTTTTTTTTTTAACAATACAGAAATCATTAACTTCATCCCAACCCATTTTCTTATAAAGCCTTTTCTGTATCTAGTGGGGAAATGCTTGCCCACACCCAATATGTCATGCACCGGTGAAGAGCTCTACTTGTTACCCTGAAGACCTACTTTTGATGGAAATCGTACATCATATATGTTTCCTTATATCTTTAATGTTTTATATCAGTGTCAGCTAGCCCCAGGTGCCTCTACTTTGTTTTCTGTTCAACACTTTGCACAAGCCTTTTGAGTCTCACTTCAGAGGCCTGGGGAGGAATTCAGTTCACTGGCCAGGTACCAGGACTTAAATGAAATTCAAGCCCCACATTTCTCAGGCACAATGGGTGTTTAGGTGTTGACAACATAAAATGTGATTTTGTGCATGTGCCTTCAACTTGATAGGTTTTCCTCATTACATATTACTGTCAGTCAGAGGTACAACACAACATTCATTAGCACTGTGTCTCAGAGGATAAGCTGTAGCTTAGGCATAAATCCACAAAGGATCTTCATATAGTCTAACACAACACAGATTTTCATGCTTACCATCACAATCAGATTTTGTTTCCTTCACACGTACATAACCCAGAGACGAGGTAAGAAGACTCCTAACAAATTACTGAAGTGATTTAGAAATAATACAGTGTCTTGGATACATTAATATGTAGTCGAACAAGCTATTAAATTAGTAAATGGATTTATATGTTTCACTTTCAGTAGCCACTAAGTTTGTAAAGTGGTCTTCGATTACATGCATAATGATCTTAACAGAGAGTTGAGCACATAATTAATGCGTCTGATGGAAGATGCATCACTGGAGAGCACGTTCATTTGTGGTGTGGACGAGCAGAGGTTACAACCATCTGAAGAGGGTGTACTAAAGCAGTGAAATCTATTTATTTTATTAACTCTCACCTGTATCTTTCTTCTTTGTCACTTTTTCCAGTGTCAAAAGATCCCCGGGTCGAGACTTACTTGCCTGCTTAGCAGCAAATTTTTGTGGTGCAGATGTGACAGCGTCCTTAACCATTTCTCTCATGTTATTGTCTCCTGTAGTCCCCAGTTTGCCAGAGCTACTGGGTAATGTGTCTCTATTAAATTTAGCATTGCATTTTAGCAAAGCATCTGTGTCAAAAATAGGCTGGGAGGACTCATGCATGCCTTCCCAGCTGGTAGTGCGGTCTGTTAGTCCACCAGCTTTACCACTCAGTTCAGGACACACACCATGAAGCAATCCTCCCCCTATAATTGCCAGAAAACAGCGAAGACATTTTGAATTAGAATACATTCTGTTTTCTTCATTTAGTCAACAGAATGAAGAAATGCGTACAGTGAACAATACAGCCAAAGTATGACAAATCACAGGTTTTACACACAAAATGTTAAGCCTGAATTCACAAAAATTTGAAATGCATAGAATACCTCTCAGCCTGCTCACAAGTAATGCTCTTTTAATAATGTCTACTTTTCAGAGCAGAAGAAATATGGAAAGTTAATAGTAATCTTCATTTGCTACAATTATTTTAGTATTAGATCTTTTAGTATTAGACTTCTAAATTAGTCTATTTAGAAATACATTTCCAAGTCATATTTCTGATCCTTTCAAGATGATCTCACAAAATTGCCCTAGGCCACATCTCTCTGCTCTAAGGTTGTGAGGTATGCAGTTTTGATACAAATGAGAGTGAGGATATTGCAGACATACAATTTATTCTAGCCCAATGATCTCATTAATCTTTATGGATTAGTTCAGGCAGTGGCAAACAGAAATAATTCATCAACAAAGGGAGAACACACAGGGTTATAGAAGTTTTACAAAAGACGCATTGCACTGATTGTTAGGTTTAGGTATGGAAACAAATTTCTTAGGAACTGACTGTATATAGGATGCTGTGCATTAGAGCTGATAAATACCACATTAGGGAATCAGAATGACATTCCATTTTCCAGGATACCTATGAAGTGAACTTGGCAGTGCTTTCTTACAGTGGTTCACAAGAAACACCTGAAGAAGACTGGATGGTGAAGGTGAACAGTCTACAAGAGTGCAGTTACTGTGAAACTATGGCTGTGAGACCATAGGATCTATGGATAAATTATTATTTGTGGACAGCATTGTAAAACAAAACAATTAGTTACAAATAGTTGCTGAAAACATCTTTACTTAATTAAAAAAACCCGTGTTTACCATTGAAAAGAGCAATGGAAAATAGCTTACCAATGGCTGCTTGCACTTCTATAGGTTCCGAATCCTGTGAAAATTCACTGAGTCCCGCTGCATTAACAGCTCTGACTCTGAAAATGTACTTCTCACCGTTGATGAGCCCATGGCATATGAATCTAAAACAAACCAGTGAAGGAATACTTAGAAAGTATTATGAAGAAAATAAAAATGTTAAGGGGGAAAACAAAGCATTTCTTCTATAAAATTTATTCTGCTTTCTGAAAACTGAGGATAAACCATGACCCCAGTCACTTAAATGAAGGTCAGAGAATGCAGAATGTATCTAAGCACCTCATTCACGCAACAAAGATCACGCCTAAAACCAACCAGTGAAGGAATACTTAGAAAGTATTATGAAGAAAATAAAAATGTTAAGGGGGAAAACAAAGCATTTCTTCTATAAAATTTATTCTGCTTTCTGAAAACTGAGGATAAACCATGACCCCAGTCACTTAAATGAAGGTCAGAGAATGCAGAATGTATCTAAGCACCTCATTCACGCAACAAAGATCACGCCTAAAACCATGTCTCTTTAGACATACCGTTTACGACATACCATTTACCAACACTCTTTCCTTCTTAAGACTACACAAGTTTTTGTGTTACCAGAGTGTCTACCTTACTTCTGCTAGTATATAAAATCCATACTTCCTAATGGAAACAATGCGAAAATCTGCAGAGATAAGGTCTATATTTGCTTGTGGAATATCTTCATGACATAAGTAAAAGACACCTGTAGCACAAGTTCCCATAATTCACTTCCAATCAAAAATGAAAAATTGCAGTGTTCAAAAAAATTACAGGGCATTGTACAAGAGCTAAAAAAAAAAAGTGTCCAATTTTTTATTTAATTTTCTTGCTTCTATATATGACACAATAATCTAAGTCAGACAAACTCTTTTATTAGAATAGTTTTTCTACTTCATTACCTAATGATCACATAAAAAACCTCATAAATTTTCTCTGGTGTCCACCTTGAAAACACAAAATTTCCCAAGACAGGAATAATTTATTTTGGAAAAATTGTGTTTTGGAAATTTAAACATTTTATTTAAAACAACATTTATTTTTCAATAGGTATTTTAAGCATATTTTATTTCATGTTACTTTTATTTTGTTCTACTTCATAATGTCATGTCTTGCACTACCAATGCTGACATCATGCGATGATGTATGAAGCAAATATAATGTGGAAACCAAAATGTATTTCAAAATAAAAATTTTATTTTGGGGAAAAAAATAAAACCTGAATCAAAATTTTCAGAGCAGAATTTCCCCTACCCATTCCACCAGACTTTTCCAAATCATTTGCTTTCACCAGGATGTGTGCAGAAAACAAATTTCAAAAGATCAAAATATACTGCATAATGCAAACTATGAGCTACAGCTAATGCTTTGAGACTGACTCAACCAGAAAAGCCAAGAGTTAACAGACAGCCTGTGCCTGACTGCATCATACTTTATATCGCATTGACTAAAAATGCAGTGACAGGAACCTAAGCAGTGTCGTTACATCACAATATATAGTAACTCAGAACAATATTTTTATTTCTACGGTGAATATAGATCACATTTCATATTTTAAAATAAGCAAACAGCACGAAACTTCACCAACTCTTGATGTAACCACAATATAAATCATAAAACTGTGTATGAAAGTATATAATATTGGCACAAACAGCTGTTGCAATATAAATGCACAAAAGAATACTTAAAGGAAATTGTTGTGCTTGTGTTCAAGCAAGTGGGATTTTAGGTACTTTTGATATACTAAGCATTTACAATGCCCTTCCAAACAACAAATTTGGTCCAAGAGTATTTAGCAGAGCCTTACTTATTGGAATAAGGGTTGTCATGGATAGCAATTACAAGCAAGCATAATCAGTCGTAACAAGCAGGGACTGCTTCTGGATTGACATCAATCCACTTGAGATCAAGTTCTGCAATTACTCCTTTAGACTCTGACGATTACATCCTTACTCAAACAAAACCAAATCTGATTTAGCTTGCAAAGATTTAAATCTTGATTATTTTTTCTGACTAGATACTGACCTTCATGTAGGTAACAAATGTGAGTTTATACCCAATATTTAAGTGTTCATTAATATCTTGATAATTGCAAGTGAAAGAGCATTTAGAAAGTAATATTGTTAGCGTGATACAGTCCACATGTCCTCCTGACATTCTAGATATACAGTCCAGAAATGTTTACAGCAGTCTTCCAAAACAAAGGACTTTGCTTCCAAACATTATGCAGTTTAGTTTTCCACATTTGTAACTTCAGTCATTCCTCGCTGTACTGTTTTCATCAAACTGATAGGCTGTACAATAGCTAGAACTAGCGAGCTGCTTCTCTTTTCTTCACTGGCAATGTCCACGTTTCCTCCCCCTTGACTAATTATTTCTAATATAAGGTTGATTATAAATTCCTTTTGGACAACACTCACCATTTGAAATATGTTTTTGTAACTTCTTATGAACTTCAGCTGCAAGAGTGATTCCAGCCTGCTGGCTACCACAGAGCAATTAACTCTACTACTACTAATGGCTGGAAAGCACATATATCCAGTAAATCAAAAACTGGTGACCATAATTTCCATGCTTTAAAATCCATTACCTTGTGCCTTTCACTGGATTGTTGTTGCATGGTTCCCAACGACCAGATCCAACTACACTTGACTCAATGTAGTATCCAACCAGCTCCTTGGCATCTGGGGGCTCTGTCCAAGTGACAACAACTGAGGTATCTGTATTCCTAGTTGGCATAATACGCCCAGGAGCTTTGGGAATATCTGTGGGAGAGAAACAGAAATAAATTAGTGACCAGTCAGTCAAAATTTACAAATAAAATGAGTGACATTCTATTCTTGATTATATTAGCACAACTAATACAGATTTAACCTCCCAGAACTCCTCTGATTTCAATCAAGTAACCTGGCACAGCAGGATAGGATCAGTAGGTTCAAGCCTTTGATGGTGAGGTTCCTCACGTCTCCATTGCCTATGGTTATGGGCATTTCCTTCAGATTAGATTTAGTTTATTCCCTTGTGCTGAACATCTGCACCAGAGATGTGATTCTGAGCTTTCTAAAAGGGAAAATATGTTAGGTGCACACTGAAGGATTTTGTGCAGCCCACAGAATAAGTCAGAAACAAATGCCCCTGTTAAGTAGCAAAATGCATCCAAAGTGTTTTTCAAGAAGAGCTGTTTTACTCTTCTTCTTAAAGAATGTAGTTCATGTGCATCAAACTGCTCTGAGAATTCAACAAATATGAAGCAAACAGAAACAATCTGGGAATTGGATTCAAATCTGCATTGCCATTTGGAAACAAATTGCTAATGTAGGCATAGCTACTGATGCTTTACTGTGGTGAACATCTTGGCTTTTCTTCCAGTGGAAATAGTCTCTGCATTCATGTAAGTATTAAATTCTTCACTTTTGTTTAAGTTGGCAAAGAAAGAAGGTTAAACTCTGCTGATATCTGGGCTTATTTTCAATAAAGACTCTAAGTAAAACAAAACATTTTTGTACTTCCTTGAGTTTTCATTTTCTTTCACTATTTGCAGCCTTTGCAGTTCTTGGCATCGCTATTTGCAGCTTAATTCCCTTGGTTTGCATCAGTCATTTGACTACACATTAAAGGTTCAACAACCCAAACCAAAATTATTTTAGCTAAAGGGAATAAATCACTGACTGCTCTTCATACTTGAATTAGTTACTGGGCAGCTATCTGTCTTCAGACAAAACAATTACATCATAAACTGAAAAGATACCATGGAGGTAATTTACTACATATGACCACACACTTACCGAGTTTGTCGTCCACCACAGTGGCTTCAGTTGCTTCTGAAGGTTCACCAATTCCAGCTGAATTGCAACAGCGAACTCGGAAGCAGTAGGATTTGCCTTCAGCCAAATCAAAAACTGCAAAGCGAGGAGACTTCACAGGGATCTCGGTGTTCACCCTTTGCCAGTCCTCTGTGCCGGCAACGCACTGCAGTCAAACCCAGAAACCGCATTTGGAACAAAAGTCTGAAAGCTGAGTGTCTAACCTGACAAGACTTTCTACCCGGACTACCAAAGGCATGTCTGCTATGGAGAACGGGGAGTCATGTTCCTTTTTTTGGCCTTTCCACAGAATGAGCGTATTTCAAAGCTTATGAATCCCAGATGTCCACCTACTCCAGAAAATATACATAAAAGCTTAATGGTTTTAATATATCAAAGCTAAACTCCTCTCCACTGCAAGGAAGTGATGTTATTATTAACTGCATCCAGTTCTGGACCACTTTCAAAATAGGTTCTGCATACATTCAACATCATCCAAAGAACAAAACTCTAACATTAACACATTGCTTCTAGATGCTCTTGTGTCATTCTTAATGTTTTTGGGGTGGCTTCCAGAATTAATCAGGATCTGACCTTCATTTTCCAGAAAAAAGTTAACATGTGCAATTAATTTGTGAATTGTTTTTATTTCTGTGGCTAGAAGCTCTACATACCATGGTCACTTGTACCATTAATATTAGTGATTAATTTTTGCCTGTGATTTACTTTAGGGATAATTTCAAGTAATGGTTCTGGTTTCTGAGGGATTTCAAATTCTCAGGAGAGAGTTACCTGACTATGTGACATTAGTGCTTAGTACTCAGCATGCAATAGGTTATTAAAAAGCTTTCTTATATGGAAACTCAAAATTCATATATTCATCCTCTGTAAGTCTGTTGCTAAGTGAAAGTCATTTATTTAGACCAGATTTCCTAAGAGAGATGAAAAACACGTAATGGGAAGATATTTATGTCTCCCTTGATGACACCTCTAGACCTATAGGGAAAAGCATTGATAAAAAATTTGTGAGCCATGATACAAGTAAAAACGGTGATGGCCATGCAAAAAACATCTCAGAAAAGCAGGACACTGAAATTAAAACTGATTCTGTTCTAGAAAAAGAAATTTTGTCATCTTTGTTGAGTTGGTGAAGCAAATGGAAAGTTAATGTAAAGGATAAATATGAAAAGGCAGCTGGAGGAGAAAGTGCTGATGCCAAGAAACTCTTGCAGAATGCCTCCATCCAAAATGTTAACAATCTGTCCCACCAGACAAGCTTCATTTATACAAATTTTATTTTATATCTAGATGTATATATATTAAAATATGTATTTTTTTCTATACATATAATATCATATATGTATATATAAACATGACTTTGCTCTGTGCTTTCTCATTATAGAGGATGTTTGTCAGCCTGTCTACTCCAGGGTAGGTCAATGACACAATCCATAAAAGGATATTAGTGTGTGACACATTCTGCATCTACTTTCCTATTTCCCATCTTTCTTTTCTTCCTAGTTTATATTAATCTACAGTAACAGTTATCTTGATGAAGTTCTAGTCCTGGCCCTAGTCTGAAAGTCTCAGGTGGAAATGAAAGTTAACTAAAAGTCCAGAAGAGATGGCAAAACAAATGTAAGAGATTGCTACAACATGATTCTGATTTTGTCCAATTTTACCTTTTCCACAAAGTACATGATACCCTCGTGGCCCCGCTGTCCAGGAGGTTTCCAGCTAAGCACAACATAGTTCTTGGTGGCTTCAATAACTTGGAGGTCTGTAGGTGGACCAGGAACAACACCCTCTGAAGAACAGGGGAGAAGAATAGGAAAGGGAATAGTGATTTAATTCCTTCATATTTGCATCAGAATTAGTGCCATAATTAAAATATAAAGGAGTATTAATATACCTTGGTACCTGATTTTTTTTAAAACATAGAGTTAAAAGTCTTCTAAATATTGGTTTTAAATGTCCTTCTTTTAACTCTAAGCATGTTTATTTGTTAGGTCCTGAATAATGAAACCTCACCTCGACAACCAAGTTGGGAGTTTTTAAAGGTCAAGTGACTCTCAGAACAACAAACTTTGGGTGCGTGCCCAAGTCCACTGAATTCACTGGGAGTTTTCCTAATTACTCAGCCAGCTTCACATTAGACTTTTGTAGGCAAAAGAGTTGTGTTTACCTGCAGGTTCTTCCTCAGTGACAATAATCTGTCCAGTCCAGGGAGCAGAAGGGTGACCTGAAACAAATGTCAAAGGTATCATGGAAATGGGAGACTTCAGGAACTTTTGAAATAACAAGAAAACTGACTCTTTTGTGGTTCAAAACTAACATTTGCAAGATTCACATGAGCTCCATTTTTGGTTACTGCTGTGACTGTTGCTCACGTAGCAAGCTAGTTGCCCAAGCTAGTTGTAGGCTGACCAGCTTGAATATTGATAGCAGCTCAGCAGTCAATATAGCTAGAAAATTTAATCCACTGAAACATTTATTCCTTCCTGCAATGTCACTGAAGTCACCTAGGTGACAAGCAGAGGTATTTGGCTCACTCAGCTCATTGTTTTCAGAGAATTAACTTCAACTTTATTCTCCATACTCTGTTCATTTGGTTTAACAGCTCACTCATTAAAGGAACAGCCAAATTCCTGCAGGCTGCTTTTTGTCTCTTTTTAACCACTTTCCCTCACATTACCAGCTTTCAAATCATGGGTCACAGTCACAAACAGAAACTGCTCAGCCTGACTCAACATATCCTCTTGATAAGATTTGGGTGGCTCTCTCAGCGCCTCTACGCTATCATATTATTGTAGTTATGCATTCAGCTGTCAACCAGGTCAATGCACTTTCAGAGATAATTTTTGCAAATGCTGTTCTCCACCGCCACATCCTCCACCTTATGTTGGCTGATCTGTTTTGGAGATGAGAGCGGAGAGGGAGCAGGTGGGGAGAAAAGAGGATCATGAGGGACAAGAGGAGGAGATATAACGGGAATAGGCCACCAAGACCAGACTTCACCTCCTGAGACAGCTTCCACACTTCCCAGTGAAAAGAAGAGGCCTCCCCCAGGCTTCAGGTTTCACGTGTCTGTCTGAGCACAGTGTTTCCTGGTGGTGCCAAACCTCCTTTCTCCGGCCTTTTGTTTTTATTTTGAATGGGAACGTTGATCATCTGACTGCAGTCTGTAGATTGCAGCATTATATACAGTAAGATATACAAGCTGGGACCTTGGGAGCCCTGTAGCTTTGCATACAATACCCCTTCACATTGGACCATTTTAAATAGTAACACTTCAGAAACAAGTAGAAATAATTGGATTTTAGGCATATGATTTTGGCATATGGATAGAGAGGTGGATTTGGAAGCAAAATGTCTGGGGCATTGCCAGGCCACAGGAAAAATATCCTTGACTTGTAAAATGTTAACTTTAAAGCAGAGAGCTTGGGATCAATTATATATTGGGCTATCCTGGTATTGTGCTGATGTTACTGCAAGACTTTGATCGTTGCAGGAGCACAGAATCAGCCACCCTTGTCTGTGGCACAGAGAGACTATTCACAAGATCTGTTCAGCTATTTTGTTGGCTGAACAAAAGCAAGTCTCTTCAGGCAATTAGCTCTCCTGTGACTTTTCCCCCCTTCCTGCAAGTTTGGAGCGTAGCACCACAGCCAGCAAAAGCCATTTGAGCAGATAGAGCACTTTGTGCAAAGAGCACTGAGATGATTTCTTCTTGGCAAAGCTGTTGCCAAAGAATATTTTGGTTTTGCATTGCTCCCTCTAGTGGGATGTTGAAGGCTTGTGAGTAGACAGTCATCCTTTTTCTTTTTTTTAAAGAGTTGTGACTCATCGACCACTCAGGCAACCTGCAAAAAGCACATCTTACTTCTAAGCCTGGCTCTGTCAGCGGGATCCAGAGCAGCCACGGGCTCTGACACCCGGGATGGTAGGCTAATGCCAGCTTTGTTCACAGCTCGGACTCGGAAAATGTAGGAACGGCCTTCAATCAGACCAGTGACAGGAAAACGAGCAAACTTCACAGGAGTCTCATTGCACTGGGTCCAGTGGCTGGTGCCAACCTCACACCTGAAAAATACAAACAGCAAGAGCAGTGCTGGGAAGGGAAAAAGGCAAACTCGGCGCACCCACCCCCCCTTTACAGCTTCACCATCTGTTCGTGTTCATTGGCTGGTCCATACCAGTTTCCTTGGCAGTGTCATATACTGGTGACATTAAAGCAGCTGCACCAAGGGGTCAGGGCTGAAGTACCATCTGGGCATGCACTAAATCCCTTGCAGCTGCGCTCCTTCTTTCCCAAACTGAGGAAGGGACACGAGCAGAACTCACTTCACTGTTTAAACCCTCCAAAGTATGCTCCAGGATGCTTAGGAAGTGTCAGCTTTAGCATACTTGAAGGGACAGGAAACACATGTGTCTTTTGCAGTTGCCAGAAGGTGACTAGTTCATCTTTCATGCACAGTGCTCCACTGTACATCCGCAAAATGATGGGCTTCATGGGGTGTGGAGACCTCCGTCATGAGTTCTGTGACCAGCCCAGCACACAGGTGGCTGTGAGTAGGGTTAAAGTCAGGCACTCAGCCGGACCCTGCTTCAAATGCTGCTGGGGCTGCCAAGGGAGCCACTGCAACGACAAGACCCAGTGGGGTGGTGCTGGTCCCACTGCTGCTAATCCTCACACCTGGCAGGAGGCTAGTTTCTGGCAGAAGGAAGAGAGAACCAGCAGCAGGGAGGGACCGCAGTGACTTCAGCTCAGGGAGACAGGAGGAGCCTGTGGGGGTGGCTTCCCAGTATCCAGCAACACAGCCAACAGGAACATGAACTAGCAGCTCAGGAAAGACTTTTTATTGCTGCTGAGGTATCTGCCAAAGCGAATGTTACAGTGCCTACCCGGATTTCTTGGTAGATGTGAGCGTCTCTTTTCTGGGAATAGCTACCGTCTCACTCAGGGCAGTTTTGTGGTTCTGGTTTCTGCTGGGGGCGAAGGATGCCCGAGCTTCGCCTCTAGAGTTAGCACAGACCAGTCCTGCTGCCTTGGGCGACCCACTCACACTGCGAGGCAGTTAGGGGCTACCCTGGCTGAATATTTGGGTGCCTAAATACCTTTGGTGGGATCAAATACTGGAGAGCAGTAACAAAGCTTTGGATTTAAGAGCAAATGTAGAATAAAGGAGGTGAACACAAGAGAAAAAGCAAAATGTCATTTGTCTTGCAGTTACACTCAGTGCTAACATCCCTCAATAGCCTAGTTTTAAAATGAGATATTATTTTTCAGAGTCTAGTCCTGTCTTTTGTTTAGGATTTTTCAATGAATGATAAAGACCTGTAGCTTAGACCTAGGACTACCTAGTTACAGCAGTAACTGACACTGATAAGTTATCAAACCAGTAAAATTGTATTTGAATTGAATGTAGTGATGTTAGATTTGTTTCACAAAGCAAAGCCCTCTTTTTACACATATATAATTTATGTATATACAATGGCATAATATAGTGGCATATTTTATATATATGTATATAAAAATATAT